TTTGTGTTTCTAAAGTACATATGTATATGCACATGTACAAAGAGATCACAACAGACATAAATATGACCATACATATATACATATGTACGAAAGATGTACACCCGAATAATTATATAATAAAAACTTGTAAATAAAAATATGGATGTGTACCAACGTACACACTCATACGCACATATGTACATACATACCCAGTAGAAGTCTTAAGCATACAACTGCGCTGTTGGTGGCATGAGCTTGCTGCTGTGTATACATGCCAGTATAAATAAACCTTCATTTCCATTTAACACGCGTGGTTTCTCAGAGCGTATGCGTACTCTAACCATACACTTGTACCACTGCTGTATGTATATGGCTGTATTAATCTTTCAAACATACAAAAATGCATTAATGGAACAGTATTAAAGCATTCTTGCAAGATATGTATCCCTATATGTAAATGCTACTTTTCTGATACATTTTAATATACGGGGACATACAAACAAGTAGCACTTGCATGTGCAAATGCACATCTTGTAAAAGCCCGTTTGTGCTGAAAATAGTATCGCACAACACGTCCATTCACTAGAATTTTAGTACAAGACTGAAAATATTACAAAAATTCCACTTCAAATTTATCAAGATATGTACTTAAAACAACGTCAACGTACATTCGCTTGCAATTCGCTAGAATTTGAATTTATTCGTGGAAATTTATGACTACGCATGAATTGTTCACACTAATTCACTCATATAGCAAGCATCCTTCAAGAATGCATACAACCGATTTCTACTGGGTATATAAATATATACTACATTTGTACATAGATACAAACATGTGATGTAGAATTAAGTCTAAAGCGCTGGTTATACTTACATTGCAAGTGCAGGGCATAGAGAAGCAGCGCATGTGAAGCACTGGTGTAATTATACTCGGCATAGAGCGCATAATTTTCCAGAATCAGCTGTTCAGTGTAATCAGTTAGTCTGTTCCAGTACTCCAGCATTTAGTTGGGAAAACATAACTTAAGAATGCTTATTCGTAGCTTAAATGAAGTCGACACTAAAGTTAGTTGCTGCTTTTTGTCATAATTTTCAATGAAATGGCGGCAACTACTTAACTTTATAATTGACTTTGTTTCGAATATAAATATGCCCCAATGTACATATGTACTTTTCAGTAATGCCTGTAAAACTGATGGGTACTGGAACAGACTAATGAGAGCAATGAGATTCTGATGAGATCTCTCTTTGAAAATGTCACATAGCGAAAAATCAAAAGCGTGGTAAACATATCTGATGCAAAATAAAAATATGAAGAAATCACAAACAAAAACTAATACTTAATAATTTAGGCCTCACTTGAAGAGCTTCTTACTATAATTCATATTTTAATATTTTTTGACTAGCCCTATGAGATTTGCTAAACTCATTCGGAGTATTACTTTTTCGTGATTTCATAAACTATTATTCTGTTGCCGAATTAAGTTTTTCTCAATGAATATTGTGGCCATATGATTGGTTCAATCCAGTCCAAATATTTTGCTACATTCGTGTAAATTCCCGGAGAATTAATCGCACACCCCAAGCCAAATGAAGTGACACCAATTATGTAAGGAACCGATTCGTACTCATTAGGTATGTATAGTACTAATGGACCACCGGAGTCACCCTTGAAGGTTAAAAGGAAATATCTTTAGTAACCCCTTCTTCATAAATTAAAAGAATATTTCACATACTTGGCATGTATCTCTGTTGAATTGCAAATCTTTTGCACACAAATGTGTATCCATTAGGCCATTTGGCAACGCATCCAGATCGGCAAAGAAGAATTGGCACAGAAACGTATCGACGGTGGAGAGATAAGCCTTCAACAGCTGATCGGATGGGCGGCCACCTGAAAGTACATACATACATACATATGTGAATATTACTGAGAATTTGGGTGGTCATCATAAAACGATAATTCACAATTTTTCACCGCTCGCTATTTACCAAAGACAGTATCTCCATACCCAATGGCAGTTGCATTTTGATTGACTAAAGGCAAATGATCGGCAATACATGCTGGCTGGGTTTCTCCGCTATAACAGAAAGAAATTCAAATTCTTTTAAAAACATACGTTTTTTTAACTTACGGTTGACTTTTCAATTTTATCAACGCAATATCATCATACGCTGTGGTAGGCTCATATTTTGGATGCACAATAACCTTTTCGATTTGTGTTGGTTTGAATTCGGTATTAGTCAAGTTAACACCACCGGGGAGAACCACAACCGGCGCGTCGCTATAGAAATTGTTATATATATTTTTTTTTTGTAGTTTTTGGGGATGAATTCAAATTTTTGAACGTTAATGATATACCATAGCGCAGTAACTTACCCTCCTACGGAAGCACAATGTGCAGCAGTTAAAACCCAATTGTGGCTTATCAATGCGCCGCCGCATTTATATTCGTAACCATTCGATTGCGGTGTAGCCCAACCAAGAGCGACCTGCGGGAGGAGATGCAAATATACATTTTTGTTTAGTAGAAGTTTTTAAGTAAGGTGACCAACCATCCCACTTTAGGATACGATACATTTGTTGGGCGATTGCACCGGCACAAA